CTATCCTGGTCAGAGAGACAATATTCCCTCCACTTCTCTTTCTCCTTCTCTCCCTCCCTGGAATCATCACATTAGATCAAAGAACTAAGGGAGAGGGTAGCACTGGAATGGACAAGGAATAATAGGAGTAACAGTGGTGGTTTCTCCGTCTGTAAAATGGAGATCATCATAGGACTTGTAATTTGGTGTTTCTCAGCTTTTGACTGAATCAGAATCACTGGGGAACGTCTAAATCTCTATTCCCAGGCGCAGCACAGACCCAGGAGAGCAGAATCTCTGGAGATGGAAACCAGCCAGCAGAAGCTCTTGTTTGGGAGCAAAAGAAATAATTTTTTGCCCCTTTGGCTCTTCTCAGACTGGGTGAATAATCAAAACAGTATTAGACAGTTTAGCAAAGGAAAAATCAACTTAACTACATACATCTGGAGAATTTTGCATGGTTGTAAATTCTAAAGAATCATAGAGCAGACCATGAATATTTATCTGGAGTCTTGGGACCTGAGACAGCATGCACAGGAAGATGCTTCACATGATAGACCAGAAGTTACCTCATCCTTATTCTCAGAGTAAAGATAAGATTTTTAGAGAGGATAAACCTATAACTGGATGAGAGCCTCCAAACTACTCTTCTAGGTATCTCTTCTTAGGGAGGGGTGAAGGACTTAGGCAAGGACAAAAACTTCTAGCCTTTACTCCTCTCAACCCAAAATAATCTGCATTCTTTAAGTAATGGTAATAGGCCTCTTGAGGCTCACAGGGCCTTGATTGACTTCTGGTTCTCATACCAAAGTGACTAGAGGCACACTGAGAAAGCCTATCTGACCCTCTTCAGGGGATTGACTCCACACTTTAAAATTCCCCAGATATTGCTTCTTGGACTTTTGGCTAAGATTAAGTGTGAAATTCCCCAGATGACTCAGATGTACAAGCAGAGTTGAGAACCACTGCTCTGAGGATGAAAAAAAATTGTTTAATTACTTCGAAAAGAAATATCCCATATCTGGCTGTATTTGATCTGTAATCATCAGGGGTGGGGGGTGGGGCATCTTTTAAAATTGCCCTGGTTCTCTGGCCACACATCACAGATGATTTAAATTAGTGACATCTGTGTCAGTGCTTCTTGCTTAACCTTTACATGAGCAACAAACTAATAACATAAATAACAGCTACCATTAGTGATTGTGGGCCACCATCACAGATACTTCCAGTCTTCACAATTCCCTCGTAGAAATCATGAGCGCCATTTTACAGATGAGGAAACTGATGTTCAGAGGTGGTAACCACTTGTCCTGGGTGACAGCGTAATTTCCTGAGGTCAGGTCAGGGCTGTCTGATCTTGAGGCTTGCTCTGGTTGCCCAAAGCCTCCTGTGACCTGGGGGCTACTCTAGTGGGGCATGTTCTCGACTCTTCCCAGTACCCACCCCAGGAGAGGGGTAAGCCAGCAAGTAGCCCTCCTGAGGCTCTCTACCCTACCCCCAGCTCCCAGGTGGTTGAGCTGAGGACTCCTCCCCCATTGTTATAGGGCAGCCCCGATACAAAACAGGGTGCCTGACTGTGGGTCCTCACCCATGCGCTTAAAAGGACTTATCAATGCTCTACTGCAGGCACATGCGAAAGGTTAATAAAAGGTTTATTTACAAGGGAAGGGGAAATGAGGAAATGTACAGCTCAGGGAGAAAAGTGGGAGACAAAGTTTTAAATGCGTCCTACCCGATCCGCCAATCAGGAATCCCAAAATGGCACTCTGAGAGCTGGCCGCAAGCCAGGAGCCGTGAAGCCAGAAGGCGAGCGACAGAGCGCGCGCCCCCAAGGCCCACGTGTCTGTTTTTTATAACAACCCTGGCTGCTTAACTCCACCCTCAGGTCCCAGCCACCTTCCCTTTGGTAGTGACGGGATTTGTCTTTCCCAATGTCCTGATGGCTTTGGTCTGGAGTGAGGGTGGAGTCCACAAAGCCTGTATGGGATTAGCGCAGGACATCCTTTCCCCCTAACGCCATGATGAGAATGAAGACGAGGGAGGTATTGCCTGGTATTTGCCTCAGTATTAGTCACCCACTCTCAAAATACCTTCTTTTGGCAGAAGAACCATGCCCGCATGTTAGGCCTAACCCCCAGTCATCTCTCATTGCCACACTTGCTCTTACAAAGGAGAAAACTCAACCAGGAGAAGCAAACACTCATTTGCTTTTTTGAGAATTTGAGGAATTTTTCAAGCATGTGCTATAGAAAAATGTGCTATAGTGTCTCCATTTCCCTCATAAAAGAGGAAGTTTGTCAAGGTGAACCTGAAAGATTTAGTTCTGCTTTATAAAAACCCTGCACAGAGGTGGTTCTGTGCTCTGCAAGCTTAAATAAATTGCTTAAAATCTTTAAGCTTTGGTTTCCCCCAAAATCAGTTAGAAAGAGCAAACCTTGTCTGACCTCAGGGCTGCTAATGCCAAGTGCTTAGAGGTGTCAGAGAGAGAAGAGGAGCCTGGTCATGATGACCAAGAGACTCACAGTTGCCTAGGAATGGAAGCTTAGTCAAGTGTTTGCTGGCATCCACTAAGGGACCCGATGTACCCCGAGGCCGAGAGTGACTTCAAGTGACCATCTATGTTGGGAACTTGCTGAATGTGTTCGCCCTGGCTTTGGGAAATCTGGCTTCACTCCACCTGCGTCAGCCTCTACTGAGTGGACAGCCCAGAGCCAATATTTGGAGGCAGAAATAGCTGAAATTGTAGAGTCAGTGGACAATGTAATATAAATTTTGTCCCACAAAACCTTCCTTGTCTAGCTCAGCCTGGCCCCAGGCCCCCTCTTATGGCAGAGCTTCCTCTGAACCTGTTGTCTTGGTCTCTGCCCCAGGGCCTGGCATGGAACAGGTGCTCAGGCAACATTAAGTGATGGAACATAAGGGGGTAGAGAGATAGGTGCCTGGGTATTTGGTGACATCTCTAAGGTCACTGCCAGTAAATGTTATTAAGTGTTGGGTATCTATTTCTAGCTTTTGAGTTAACTTGGGATTTTTTGGTTTGTATTTGTTTTTTTTTTGTCACTTAAGTTTCTTTGAAGTCTGTGTCACAAGGACTGGATGGTTCAGATAAAATGCCATTTTCTGAGGTTGAGGCAAATATCCATGTGTATTTCACTATGTGTAACTCTTACCACAGACCCACTGAGAGAGTACATCCTAAGTGTGGAGATTGGTGGCTCCCTATTAAGCTAACTCTTAAAACTTTCTGTGTTCTATCTCAAGCAGTGGGTATTGTGGGTGGCAAGAGAAAATGGAGCAATGGTGGAAAATTATAGAAGGGGGGTGGGAGAACCCCCAGGAAAAATGTCCATTGGTGGTTTCCAGGGACTTAGTGCAGCCTGAACTGAGACTGTGAAGTGGAAGTTTGCTGTCCTTCCCTGTGTGGCGGGAGGCCCTGGGAACGCTGAGGGACGCTGGCTCAGGGCTGCCTGCCGTGCCAGCAGGGACATCATTCCACGGTAGCTCTGTTGATCCTGGGAGTGAAGAGCTTCCAGGCCCCTCCCTAAAGGGCACTAAGTATAGCCTTATCTCCAATAACCATCTTTTTTTTTTTTTTTAAGATTTATTTATTTATTTATACAAGCACTGGGTACAGTCAGAAGCGCGGGAGGGTGAGAGAATTCACCAGAGCCAGGACCAGAACAGGAAGACTGACGAAACACATTGCTGAGGAGAGCAGCGGGCGTAGCAGGAGAGGTCTGCGCGCCATGTGGGACCCTCGCTGGTGGCCGGGGATCCAACCGGCGCTGCAGAGGCTGCGGACAGCTTCGCAGCCCAGTGTTCAACCGCTGTGCCACCGGGGAGGCCCGACTCCACTAACTATCTTATAGGCTTTGTGCACAGCGGGCTGGGCCTGGCTGTGCCATTAACTCTGGTGACCTTAGGGGAGTCACTTGACCTCTCCTGTGGCTCAGTTTCCTTACATTTTACAACTCCATGTTCCAATCAGTCCCCTACTGTGATGAACTCCCACTATGCTTATCAGTATCTTCTCCCCTCAAGAACCTCCCCCCAGCTGGTTGAGCCCCTGTCTTTTTTTTTTTTTTTTTTTAGAACATTTTTTTTTTTTTAATAGAGGCATGCTTTTATTTTATTTTATTTTACTTGTTTGTTTGTTTGTTTTATACATGCACTGGGTACAGTCAGAAGCGCGAGAGGGCGAGAGAATTCACCAGAGCCAGAGCGGGGAGCAGAGCAGGCAGAAGGACCGAAGCACACTGCTGAGGGGAGCAGCGGGCGGCAGGAGAGGTCTGCGCGCCATGTGGGACCCTCCTGTGGTGGCCGGGGAGCAGCCGGGGATCGAACCGGCGCCGCAGAGGTCACGGGCAGCTTCGCAACCCAGCGCTCAACCACTGCGCCACCGGGGAGGCCCTTGAGCCCCTGTCTTTACATTATTTGCTCTTGCTGCTTGGCTCAGTTCAGGTCATTGAGATTATATTTGTTGGGGGAGTGCTGGGGAGAAAGGTGCACGCATGAGATGATAGGGCTGTTTGTCCCCTCACAATTCCAAGCAGACGCATCTGTGCTTGCTCCAGCAAGGCACACCAAAGGGAATATTGCTGCCATTAGTATTTTGACCATGCCGATCTTTTTTGGTTTTTCTTAATTCATCTTTTCTTTATATGGCCTCAGCCTCTGTAAACTGATTTCATCTGATGCATACCAGACTTAAAACTGAGGCTTTGGGAGGAGGAGTCTGTTGTCACCTTGATCAAATCAAACTTTCAGGTCCCGCGTGTTTACACATGTATATTGGGAATAACAGCATTCACATTCCTTCACAGTAAAAGGTAAAGGAATTGTATGAACAGAAGGGAAGCCCCTTTTCCGCCCCATCTCAGTTACTGGGGCTGCTAGCTGGTGGCATGATTTGTCCTAGGCTGGCAGCATGACTCTGAATGAGTGTGGCCTGGAGCTAACAGCCCATCACTTCACTCATGGCCACGGCGACACCCTAATTGTGTGAGTCTGTGTCCCCACAGCGGCCAGTTTGCCATCGTGAAGAAGTGTCGGGAGAAGAGCACGGGACTGGAGTATGCGGCCAAGTTCATCAAGAAGCGGCAGAACCAGGCCAGCCGGCGGGGCGTGTGCCGGGAGGAGATAGAGCGGGAGGTGAGCATCCTGCGGCAGGTGCTACACCCCAACATCATCACGCTGCACGACGTCTATGAGAGCCGCACCGACGTGGTGCTCATCCTGGAGTTGTGAGTGGGGTCCTACAATGTGTGGGGAGCAGCCGGGGCAGTCAGGGCAGTGAGAACTTCCAGCATAGACCCCAGAGGACAGCAGAGGCCAAGCTTAAGCTCGATCCCAAGGAGATGAAGTGGGGGCAGGAGACATGGAGGGAGGGGGGTGAGGGGCAGGCACTCTTTTCCTCCTTTCCCTCCATCCTCCTGAACCTGGGCCAAAGCAGGGGCCAGCTTGCTGAGCTGCAAAACAGGACAAGGGTCTAGGTCTGGCTTTCATTGGACCCTAGGGATCAAAGGGAAGAAATGACTGACTCTGGGGTCATTTCCTGACTGAGGGCATGTGGGAGGATGAGAGGGGGCTGGAGAGGAGACGGGGAGCAGAGAAGCCTGTCAGGGAGGGGTCTGTTTTATGAGGAACGGAAGAACAAACATCCTCAAGCTCTGCCAAGCCCTTTTCTAGCCCTTTCCTGGAAAAATCTGCCACATTTGTGCTGTGTTTGGTGCCTTTATTATTATAATGATAACTTACTAGTGAACCCTACTTTAAACCAAGCATTTATTAGGTGTTTTGTGGTTGTCATCTTGTTCAGTCCCCACTGTGATGAGAGATGTGTCCTACTGCCATGGAGCATAACTTTGTGTTCACAGTGTCTCATTACACTTCAATTACACAGAGACTATTAGCCCCATTTTACAAATAAAAATACTGAGATACCAGGTCACCTACAAGGTCCTATAGCCAATGGCTGGAAGTGGCAGATCCAGGACTTGAGTCCATGCTGCCTGTATAGACAGCTATGAGTCTGAGGTGTCTCTACTGGAGGTATCTCCATGGAATGGGGAGCTGGGTTCTGGAAGACAACAGTGTTTGAGTTGGGCAGTGGTGCAGGTCACGGTAGCTGTCCATTCAAGCAGCAACCCTTGTTAGGAATATTCTGAGGCTCTTAGGCATGTATAAGTCTGCTGTTTAGCCAGGGAGTGGTTGCATTTGTTTCAACAATCCCTGACTTTGTGACTGTGGGCAAGTCACCTCACCCCTCTGAGTTTCAGATCTTATCTGTAAACCAGGTAGCCATCCTTAACCTGCCTATAGGTTGGGTGCACCACCTAACATTTGAGATCATTCTAATTAAGAGTTGTATTCTGGTGTTGCCAGGATGTATATTTTTGTAGCAGATGGGTATTTGCATACTCTAGCATTTGATTCTTAAATTTTCGATCTCTGTATTTAAATGCACAGAATCACCCATTGCACCTCTCCCTTCTCTAACTCCCAATTTCCTCGTGTTTCTCCTGTGGACCCCTCAGCCTTTGGGACTAGACAAGCCTGGTGGATTCCCACAGGTGTGACCAGACATGTGGACAGCCTGAGGGGTGACATGGCCCAAAGTCAAGGGCCAGCAGTTGGCACACTGGTTTCCAATAGAGAATGAGATGCATATGTTTCTGGGAAGTCCAGGCCACTTCTACAAGTCTATTATCAGAAAAACTTGGGCCTCCCCGGTGGCGCAGTGGGTTGAGTGCAGCACTGTGAAGCTGTCTGCAACCTCCACAGCGCAGGTTCCGTTCCTGGCCAGCCAGGGAGATTCCCGCATAGATTCCCACATGGCGTGGCAGACCTCTCCTGTTGCGCCCGCTGCTCCCCTCAGCAGTGCTTTCGGTCTGTCTGCCTGTTCTGCTCCCCGCTCTGTCTCTGGTGAATCCTCTCACCCTTCCACACCTCTGGCCTGTACCCCAGCTATTGTATAAATAAAAAATAAATCTTAAAAAAAAAGAGAAATATTCTAAAAAAAGAAAAAGAAAAACTTTACAGCATCTGATGAGAAATTATATTCATAATCCTACCACCCGAACAGTTATTTATGTTTTTCTGTGGTTCCTCTCAGTCTTTATCTATGTGTATTCTATCACTAGACTTGTACAATTTTCTGCGCTGCTTCTTCCTGCTTAACATAATTCCATAAATAGTTTTCTTTTTATTTTAACTGACTATATTATGTTTCATTGAATTACATACTCTTTATTTCCCTCTTGTTGGACTTTTGGGTTTTATTTTTCCAGCTTTTAACCATTATAAATTTTACTGTCATAAAACAACCCTCTTCCCATAATTTACCCTTTTTCTTTTGAATTAATTTTTTAAAAGATTTATTTATTTATATATACAAGAACTGGGGTGTAGGCCAGAGGTGCAGGCAGGTGAGAGGATTCACCCAAGACACAGTGGGGAGCAGAACAGGCGGATCTACTGAAATACACTGCTGAGGGGAGCAGCAGGTGAGACAGGAGAGGTCTACTGTGCCATGTGGGTGAGCTCCCTGGCTGGCAGGATATCGAACTCAAACTCGAGTTGCAGTGGCTGATGGTAACTTGATAGCGCTGTGTCTTTAATCCCTGCGCCACCAGGGAGGCCCCCTCTGAATTAGTTTTTTTCAGAAAAATCCACAGGTATGGAGAGATGAAGCTGACATTTTTAGGACTCTCAGTGGCCTCACTTTATAGAAGGGAGTTGCTTGACCAGTAATACTTGTGACACAGGAGCATTCCCACTTGCCTGCCGCCTTGCTATTCCTGGGTCCTTTGTTTTAAAACAGGGATCATTATTTATTGCTCTTTATAGTTATCAAATTATATTTCTTACCATTTTAACGGCATTTCTCTAATTACTGGGTAAATTGCCTGCTTCCCTCTGTTTGTAGAATCCCAGGAAGTTGGGATCTGAGGTGCTTTTGAGATGCACCTCCATGTCCCAGCAGAGCTCATGTCAGCAAAAGTTGTAAGTCCTCTTCTTGTGAGTTGTCACCATACATGGCATTATTTGTCACTCTGGTGCTTCCGTGACTTGTGTGAGCCTCTTTATTTGTTGAATTCTGTCTGTTCCTAGTTCCTCTCTCTCCTCCTTTACTTGCATGCTGTTTCATTGCTGTCAGAGTGCTTGTCCAGGGAGTGCTAGGAATTGCTAAGCCTGTGCCTGAGCATTGTGACCAGGGTCTGAGAAGAGAGACTTTAGTGTTGGACTTTAGTGTTGGAGTTGGTGACCCTTGAAGGGCTAATCAGGAACATTTGGTGTCTTAGTCTTTTGTGTGCCCTAATAGGGTAGAGGGTTTGCCCAGAGGATCAGCGTGAGTCATTTGCAGGCTTTGTGGATAGGTCTCTCATGATCCACTGCCCCTCTCAGCAGCTATGGTCTGGTGCAGGCCTTCTTCCTGCTTTCTGCTAAAGTGACCAGTACTAGGGGGACATGACCAGCCCTGATTTAAGTTCCTTTCAGCTGTTATTACTCTATCTACCTCTTCAGCAATAGCCATTTCTGGTCAGGCCTCCTGAAGGCAGGATTGAGAAGAATTTAGTTGTCCATATAAGCTGACTTCTGTATGGCATAAAGGATATTTTAAATATCTCATAAACTCCTGGGCCCGGAAGCCCCACCTTTCCCAAATCGTTGCCTATGCAGCTCTTTTCAGCACATGTCCTGGAAAAAGTTCTAAGAAGAGTGTCTAGCAGGCAGAGCCACCTGCAGGGAGGAAGGAGGCACAGGGGTTATTGAAAGCAAGAGAACTGAGCCTGGGGACACTGGGAGGAGGCAGAGGAGGTCAGGCTAATAGGTTTTGCTTTTCATATTTAAGCTAAAAAAGTTTGGGATGTGAGTCAAGAGAAGCTTGGGAGGAGCTGGGAATGACTCCAGGCCAGAAGTCCTGGGGCTATGAAGCCCTTGGGAGAAACTCTTAGGGAGAAAAATAAAATCCAGGCTCCTTGATGGCCTTGAAAAGAGATGCTTGAGCATTGATGTGAGCTTCCCTGGCCTAGGTGTCCAGGGCTTGGCCAGTTCTCCCATAGGCTCATCTTTCTCCCACCTCTCCAAGTCTCCAGGGGAGCTCCTAAAGGGCCGCCTTGGCTGTTCCCATATTCATCCAAAGGAGACCATGTCTTACTGCATTTCCTGACCAGATCACCCTTCAAACAGAATGGCTGGTACTGTCCCCCAAGTCCTCACCCAGCCTGGGCCTCTACATCAGTGGCTTTGAGTGACTGGACATATCCACATTATCATATTATTTTACATTTATGCAACATTCTACTTAACATAGGAATGGTAGTATGTACTTGAGGTTATAGCCTCACATGACCTGGCAGGGGCTGGGAGTATTAAAAACAAGAGTCAGGCAATGTGCCGAGTGCTTCAGAGGGAGCACTGGGGATTTGAAAATATGCAAAGAACTCTGGACCTGTCTTTTAAAACTATGAAGGTTTTATGTCCATATGATATAGAATATTCTATGCCATGTTGATATTTTTAATGCGTTGTTTCTTTGCTTTGTTCTTTTATTCACCAACTTTTTACTGAATGTCTTTTGTGCACTTGTGCTAATGCAGCAAAGATAATCTAGTTGTGGAGACAGAAAATGACAGTCCAGTATCACAGCCACACAGATGCAGCTGAACAGGGATGTCAGAGGACTACCCAGCACTTGGGGTGGTTTTGAGCTGTCCATTTTGTACCAGCAACTCAGGGTTTGTAATGTGGAGAGAGCAGAGTGAGAGGAACACACAGTGAACTGGGTGGTTGAAGTCCAGGTCTACAGCCAGACTCTCCGCTTATCAGCTGTGTGACCTTGGGCAAGACTCTTCTCTTGGGCCTCTACTCCCTTACCTCACAAATGATTATGGATGTTCTACCTTCCCCTTGGGGTGCATATGAGGCTCAAATGGGAGACTGCTTGGGCGGTACGTTGCAGAGGTGGCAATCTAAGTAAACTAAAGGAAGCTCTCTTCCACCACTGCCACCTGACAATGACATGGTGTGTGATATTTATTTCAAGGACTTTATCAAAGCTCTCATAGCACCTGTCTAACTTTACCTCAAGATTCCTCCCACTCCTATCCAACCCTCGTCTAACACTAAAGGAAGCAGTGACTGGGTTTTTCCCTCATTTCTGTTTTACAAGAAGAAAAGCTGAGTCCTGGAACTGTCACATGCTCCACCCCAAGGTGAAGGTTTACTCTATGTTGGGTCACTGACCTGGTGCTTTGGTCCAGGCCTGCAGAGCAAACTCAGGGTTACCCCTGTAGCACCAGTGAGGATGCCCTAGGTTGCAGTAGCTGCCCCAGGTGGGCTGAGGCAGATGGTGACCTCACCCATGAGACACAAGGGAAAATAGTGCACTAGCCTAATGCCCCTACTTGAAGGCAGCTCCTTCCAGCCATACTTAGGTCACTCTGAGTAGAGGGGTGCTGCAGCTCTACCAGACTGTACTTACGTGGGCCATCGTATCTCACTCTCTCTTCTTCCTTCACCTTCCCCCTTCTCCCCGCCCCCCCCCCCACTTTTCTAAATATTTACTCAGCATCTGTTATGCATTGGATGCTAGACACAAAGACAAGCCCCTAATTTATGCCCTTGAGAGGCTCATATGCCAGAAGCAACACAAACTTCTGACACCCACTCATCTGCTTAAGGGAGATCATTTTAATCCCATTTGTCAGATGAGAAAAGACCAAGGTGGAGGTGGTGGCAGACCCAGCATTCCAGCTGGGCTCCACTGCACCCCCAAGGCTGGCCTGTGCACAGGGACTTGAGGCCACATACCTGCCCCGTGCTCATCCCCATCTCTGTGCCTTCCCTTGTGCTCTCTCCCTTCCTGCCTCACCTGTCTTCGTCCTCTTGTTTCCTCCAGGCCCTGCTCAAGTCTCTCTGCTTCCCCAGCACCTTCTCCCACCATTCTAGCCACACAAAATAAACAAACACCATGATGGAGGCCCCGGGGATGGGTGTTGTCATGTGCCAGTCACTGTGCGGAGCGGCCCACTCCATCCACCAGCAACTTTGCTCCTTGGAACAGACCAAGCATGTAGACATTCTCTTTACTCCCAGTGTCTGGAGACATCGATGAGAGTTAAGACAACTCTTCCTCAGTCTTACATTAGCACTTGGAGGCAGTGTTGGACCGTGGACTGGAGCTTGGACACACTCCCTTCCCGGGAGACTCCTGCATGACTGTCTCCCCTCAGTCTCCTCATCTGTTAATGAAGAACTTTCAGGCGCTGATAGTTATTGTGTGGGAGGGTGACTAAGGGAGAATGTGGCAACTCTTCCTCTCAAAGTTTATTGTTTCCTTCTTCGAGGATTTTAAACATATACAATAAGAGAGACAATATAAGGAACTCTCATTTGCTGATCCCCCAGCTTACATTATCAACGTTTTGCCAACCTTGTCTATATAAAACTCCTACTCTCACTCCCAACTGGAATATTTTAAAGCAAAGGTGAGACATCATGTCATCTTACATGTACATACTTTTGCATCTGTAACTGATGACAATTTTTTTTTTAATGTGGCCATCGTGTATTTATTACACCTGGTGATAGGGGCAGGAAATGAGGTGGGAGTAGTTGAGTTGCAAACATGTCCAGGACAGCACAGGGCCCAGAGATGGTGAGTCCCTGCCTGGAGGAGAGAGTAAGTAACATGAGGCCCACCCCACCAGCCCAGACTGACAAAAGATGTGGCTAGAACAAGATCCTGTCTCCTGAGGAAGCAGCTGTGAGCCTCTGAAATTGGAAAATAATTGCCCTTAGCTTATAGGTATTGCGATGATTAAATGAGATGGTGTACATAAAACACGTAGCTTTGTTTCTGGCACAGGGCCTATAGTGTGACCTGGGAATCTGCATTATGAACAAGTTCTCCAGGTGATCCTGAGTTCTTAGACCTTTGGCCAGCTCTCTCCTGAGAGTTTTGGGGATGCCCTTGGACTCTGTCTTAACTCCAGAGATGCATGTGTTGGCTGGACACCCCAGCATCTGGTGGAGAATGAGCAAACCCTGTAAGGTTGCCACATTTAGCAAATAAAAATCTCCTATACTATCTATCAACCCTAAATCCCTAATTGAGATAAAATTCTGTCGCTTTCTATTCCTGTCATGTCGAACACTGAGTGCAAGAGCATATGGAGTGAGAGGCCAAAAGTCATATTTTAGGCTTTTAGAGATGGATGTAACTAATGGGTCTTTATGTTTAAATTAGAGACCATGCCTAAATTCTCTTGAGCCTTGGAAGTGGCCATCTTTTATAAAATCAAAGAAAGGGGCTTCAGAAGCCATCTAGGCCAATCTGTTCATTTTGCAGGTGAGGGAACGGCCTGCCTGGAGAAGGAAAGTGAGTTGTCCAAGGTCTGTGACTAGGAGTTAAGTCTCCAGTTTCTGGTCCAGTGGTTATTCTTTTTTGCATCCCATAGTACTTGTTCCTGTCATCTGTCACCTCAGTTATATGGAGAGGGGAATGGGTAACAATCGGGATAACTGGGGACCTGGGCCTAGAATGTGAGCAGAGGCCCTTCTGTTGACACAGTAAGGATAATTCTTGCCTTTGTGATCCAAAGGTAGGAACACAGCTCACAAAAGTCAATCCCTGTTGTTGGCTAAACAAAGCCTCAGTGATGGGTGAGGGGGTCTGTGCCTGGGGGTCTGTGTCAGGAGCCCACCCATTGTCCTGGCCTCCTGACACGCAGGGCTGATGGGCCTGCTGTCTTGCAGAGTGTCTGGAGGAGAGCTCTTTGACTTCCTGGCCCAGAAGGAGTCGCTGAGTGAGGAGGAGGCTACCAGCTTCATCAAGCAGATCCTGGATGGGGTGAACTACCTTCACGCCAAGAAAATTGCTCACTTTGATCTCAAGGTCAGTGAGGGGGATGAGGGAAAAGAGACCATTTAGGAAGGATGGGTCCAGTCTCCACCAATGTCATTGCCAGGAGGGGCTCAGCTCCCGCTTGGCCTTCCCCTCCCCACTGTTGGACAGTTGAAAAGTCTGAGCTCCTGGGAAAGAGACAGTGCCCTTTCTCACCTCTTCAGTTTCATTTCACAAGTCAGGCTTTCCTCACCTAGGGGATAACTGCAAGAAGCTTCTTAATCAGACCACAGGCTTCTTATCTCTTTCAGGGAGCAGATAGCATGTAAATGTTAAATGCGCAAACCAGTGATAGGAAACTTGAAACCTAGCACATTTCACAAGACTGAACTTGTCAGCGACCAAAGAGCTAGCTCTGGTGCAAGCAGAACTAGAAGTGCAGAGGAGGGCTGCTGCGGTTGGCCAGCTCTCCGGACCCAGCACAACCCAGCCCCCAACATTCTCTGATTAGAGGTTCTAAATCTTGGGCCCAGGGACTGCTGACTGTCCTCCCCCACCCTGCCCCATACTGTGTAAAACTGCTTCCAGGGGCCATCATTATTTGGGGTAACTGGTTTCCAGGGTTGAGGAAGTTCACTGTGACTACATAGGACTTCATAAAGCAAGAGTGTGGGCACAGTTGAAGGAACGGTTCCTGTAGTAACTGAGCTCAGTCACATAGACTGATGAGCTTTTGCAGACACCCAAAGCATAAAGATACTGAATCCTGTTTACTGGGTGGAGATCCATTCTTTTTTCTATCCAGAAATTCATGCTGTGTTCAAGCATTGTAATGGGCTTTCTACAGATACACAATCAACTGAGACCCTTGTCTGGGCTTAGTTCCTCTTCTCCAAGGAACTTAGTGCAGGAGATAGAATAGAAAGATGAACAGTTCTAAGTGCTATGATGGAGGAAAGTACAGGGGCACTGGGGAGCATAAAGAAGACATCTCAGTCATGCTGGGGTATCCAAGGGGGCTTCCTGGAAGAGGTGATATTTGTGTTGAATTTTGAAGGACTAGACTGACAGGGTTTATTAGAGGGGGAGCTTCTTCTAAGGAAGAGAAACCAGCAATGTACAGTACATTCAGAGAAAAACAGACAAAAGGCAAATATGCTGAATGACTGGAGAAGCCAGGAGGAGAGCAGGGAGTGGACACAAGGCTGTGGGAACTAAACCAAGAAGGTTGAACTTTACTCTGAGAGGTGGGGATTGAGAGGGCTCAAGGGTGGGATGTCAGGTGAGCAGGGAGGTATTGCGAGCAGAGGTGTATTCAGATGAATCCCTCAGGTTGGTAGGATAGGTAAAATGGCAATAGCTTAGAGGTGGGGGTCCAGCTACGAGACTCATAAGTAATCCAGGTGAGATATGGCAAGAGGCAAACTAATTTGAAGAAGAGATGGATTTCAGACCTGTTACAGAGGTTGATCTTAGGACTGATTTGGTACCTACTTAGATGTGAGAGATAATAGGAAGGGCAGAGTCTAGGCTGACTCCCAAATTCTGACTCAGCCCAGGGAGGGCATGGCATGCCCATGGTCTCACAGTGACTGTGCCAGGACCTGGACTCAGTTCCCTCACATGCATCTTTCCCCAGCTCTTACTCAGCCCTGTGGGGTATCCTCAATGAGTCTCCTCATTGCAGTTTCCCCCTCTTTATGTCAACTGTTGCAATATTTTGAATTTCTCTAACAGAAGACATCTTGCAGAGTTTCATTCAGGTGTTTGGGGGTAAAAGTCAGAGTAAGGGTGTGGCTCGTGAAAGCCTTTGGAGCTCAGGGTGGTATGACGCCAAGCAGGAAACAGTCTACCTGGTTGTGCCTGTGTCTCCTTCCTGATAATATGATGGGCAATTAACTTGTCTTTTTGTATCTTGGTTGACTCCAGGAGATTGGCTTCCAAATGGCTCCTTTGTCTTGATCTAATGGGTCTGGCAGAGGAAGGAGGTAGAGGAAGAGAAGTCAGGGAGTCCCGCAGGTCTCGTGGCTGCACCAGGTTCATGCTGATACTTGACATGTGGGGCTGCTCGACAAGGTGGAGGAAGTGCTGCCTTGGAGTCAGGCACATCAGAGCTTGATCCTCACTCTACCATGCAGCAGGGTATAAATGAATCTTGGTTGTGTGTGTCTATGTGTTTTCAGCTTCAATGCAGATAGTAATACCTACCAAAAAACAAAACAAAACAAAAAAAACAACCCTAAGGGCAGAGTTGTTTTAAGGCTTAGAGAGAAATAGCATTAGGTTCTGAATACAGAATAGGTGCTCTGTAATAGCAGCTAGTATTGTTCGTTCCCTTCCCAGAATAGAAGGGAAGAAAACACAGCTCTTATTACTGTGTTTTGGGTCTGGATAGACTAGGAAAACAAACCCTGCTGGTATAATTCTCATTGCCCAGCAGAATGCTGAGATTTGTTGCTAGGTGGGGTTGCTGCTGGGGGCATGTCTGGCTCCTGGGCTCAGTTTGGACATTTCGCATGACAACCTGGAGACAGTTTGGGTTTCCCCTGGATGCAGGTAGGGTGAGGATGCTGCACTTCAGCCTATGTTCTTAGAGTGTGTAGTCGCCCATGCGTCTCCCCGCCCATGCGTCTCCCCGCCCATGCGTCCCTTGGCTCAAGCCCAGCTGGCCACCTTCAGAGAGTGATGAGTAGCTGGAACTCAGTGGGATTACCTCATGGTTGGGTAGACACTTCCTGGAGCCAGAATGTGGGTATGTGTGCTCCCTGCTTCAAGTTTCCCCAATTGAAGTGGATCTTGCAGAAGGACCAGAGCTGGTAGCTTAGAGGGGACTTCTGACTCCATGTTATTTCCCACCATATAAGATTCATTTTCTTTGAATATATTTTTCTTTCTGGTTTTCATTCTCCATGGGGAGCCTCTATCTACCTCTCCTCTTGTATTCTATAACTTTCCGCCAAGTGAGTCAGACTAATCTTGCTGTCTCATGGACACAGCCACCATGTTGTCTCCACGCATCTACTTCCACATTCACCTTCCAGCCTGGAGGAGCTGGTGATGGGAGAGGGTCGGCCTTTGGAATGTGAACAATCTCCACCGCTTGCTATTTGATAGGCTCCTTTTATGCTCAGCCATTATGCTAGGGATATGAGACTGTGTCCTGCCTTAAGATGTGCTTCCAGGGCCTCCCTGATGGCGCAGCGGTTGAGCGCTGGGCTGTGAAGCTGCCCACAGCCTCTGCGGCGCCGGTTCGATCCCCAGCCACCGGGTGAGGGTCCCACATGGCGGGCAGACCTCTCCTGCCGCCCGCTGCTCCCCTCAGCAGTGCACTTCAGTGCTTCTGCCTGTTCTGCTCCCCGCTCTGGCTCTGGTGAATTCTCTCACCCTCCTGCGCTTCTGACTGTACCTAGTGCTTGTATAAATAAATAAATAAATCTTAAAAAAAAAAAAAAAAAAAGATGTGCTCCCAGCCTGGTGGCAGAGCTAATGAAATGGACAAATTAATATACAGTAATCATTGTTGCTAAGACAGATTATGGCATGCTGTTGCCCAGAAACCTGTGGTGAAGCCTGTCACCCACAGAATAAATGAACCCATTCTCGGCATGGCACTCAGGACTTTGTTACATATCCTTAGCCCTGTTTCTGGCCTCATGCACCTTTCCCCACTCCAAAACACTACTCATTGGGAAGAAGACGACTGAGCTCTGACTGGTGCTCCCTTCCTTCACTCATACTTTTCCCACTTAGGCTGCTACTGCCCCTCTTTTTTCCTTCCAGGCTCAGCAAAAATGCCATTTCCTCTGGAAGCCTTTCCCACCCATGTTACCACCTCCTGCTCCCCTTCTCCAAGCTTTGCTAAGAACTAACCTGCCCCTTGACCTCTTTGCTTCTGTTGCTGTTTGCATAGTCTTCTGCTGAAGACGTTTAATCACTAGGAGTCACGTTCCACTGCCAGTATCTAGCATGGTTTCTGCACATGATGACTTGTTCAGTGCATAAGTGAATATCTTAGTTGGATTAAATGTACAACTTGATGGCAAAAGCCTTTCATGCCATCTGGAAACTGCAAGAGGTTAAAGGCAGATTTCAATTGGATGATTTAAACGGTTATTGAAGGACGACTGTATACCCAGGGGATAGCGTGACAAACAGTAATGTGATGTGGTACCTGGCCTTCCACATGCCCACTATCTACTGGCACCAGTGAGACTTGGTGGGGAGACGACCTGAATTAAAGGCTAACTTTGATTCCAGCCAACAGAAGTTCACTTCACAGACATGGTGCTGTTTTAAGTTTAACTTGTATCATTAAGTGATCTTTTCCATCACAACTTAAGTTTGGAATCAGGAAGACAGTAACTCAAGTCCTGATTTGTAGTGTCTTCCAGTTTCTGTGGTGGAAATCAACCTGCCGTGGTTGATTTCAAGAGACCAATGTGACCACACTGACTAGAGTTAGGAAGAGGGGTGCAGTAATACCCGATTATGTAGTGTTTCCCCAATACAGAGGTAAAATACATCGATAACCTCAAAAGCAGAAGAAATACTAAATTATAATTTAAAAATAGGAATCAATTAGTCTTAATGATCATTTTAAGTATAATTTATTTAAATATAAATACATTATCCATTTTAATTTTTAATATTAAAATAATATTCTTAATAGCTCTGACAACAGGCCCACAAAACTTCTGCAAATTTTATAGTCAGCTCTCATGTACCAGAAGACTCAGCTCGTCTAACACACCCCTGCTTCTCTGATATCCTGAAGGTGAATGCATTTTGTAAATAGGATAAAGCTCTATTTGGGCTGACTGTGGTATAATTATAATAATGGCAGCTGGGCTGTATTGAGCAGTCTCTAAGTGTTTAGTCATTTTATCCACTTAACATCTGTGAGGGAGTGTCATGCCTATTTGCAAAAAGGGAAGATTGCTAGAGAATGCCTCGGGCTTCCTTGGACCTCTGCCTAAGCTCTTCCACATTAATATGCCCATTTTGCGGATGAGGGATGCAGGGCTCAGAGAGGTGAATGACTTGCCAAGGTC